CCACGCACTGGGTGTGACTCCGCTCAGCTGGAATGGATGGGCCCTGCCAGCCTGGTTGTCGGTCCCCCTGACCGACAACTGATTAATCTCCCCTGAGCAAGGGGTGGGGGGGGGGGGGGGGGGGGGGGGGGGATGTGTGTGTGTGGGGGGGTGCCGGGGAAGAAATGAGCAGAGCGGCCTCGGGATTGTTATAAATGTGCCGACACTGGTGGAGTGGCAGGCAGAATCATTACTCACACGCACAGGAGCCCAGGACCGCGGCTCCCCGGCCCCCCCCGCCCCCCCCCCCCCCCATCGCCAAAACACCTTTCCCGGGGTAGCGGACTGCCAGTCACCGCTTGACATTTCACAAGTCCTATCCCTCCATTTATTAATCGCCGGAGAAGAAGGGCATGTTGTTTTTTAGGGAGCATGAAAAATGGTTAGGCTATTTGTTTGTGCCCCCCCCGCTGCTGCCTCCTGTACCTTGTACAGGAATAAAGGAGGCAGGTTAGAGTTAAATCCAAATCCTGGAAAGTCTTTGACAGCTGCGATCCTGCAGCAACCACCAACGAAAGGGTAAGGAAATGCCAGAACACCCCCCCCCCACCTCTGCTTGACAAACAGCTACCCCAGGACCCACTGGTCATGGGACAACAGTTGAATTATAATACATGTATGCAGGAGGAATGGGTGGGGCTTTGGTGAGCTGGGGGGGAGGCTGTTTACACTTTGACAAGAAGAGTCTGAATGGGGGGGGGGGGGGGGCACATGCCCCCACTCAAGATATTAGCAACACAACAGCAGGGGAACAACAAATGATACCTCCTAAAAATAATACTGGACTCTCATATGTTGGGATTAAGCCAATAAATATTTTAGACTCACAGTGGGGTCACTCAGAAGTTAATAGACGGTCCTCAAGGAGCACAGAAAGGTAATCACGGCCGACGTCGGGCTGGGGAAGATTTTCCCGAAGAAGAAACGGTGGAAAAATAACAGAGACGGCAGTGGAAACACCCCAGAGAGACATAAGAAGCAGACATAAGAAGCATTTCCTCACGTCGTGTTTCACCAGGAACAAGCCCGTTTATGCTCTATTCAGGAGCCTGCTTCATTGTGTCATGGAATTAAGAAAAACCTGGAGAGAGAGAGAGAGAAAAACTAGTTTCCTCTTGTAATGCTGTTGGATGTTTTCCCAGGGCTGATGGTTATGAAGTTCAGAAACAGGGATACAGGAGTATGGCTTGTAAATATATCTGTTTGGGGACTGTGTTGGGGGTGGGGGGTGGGGGGTGGTGCGGAGATGAAATATGGTCCCTGGATGTGGAACAGTGTGAAAAACTCAGGAACGCCAGCGAATAACAAATCCCCCGCCACAGTTAGCTGGAAAAATAAATACAAGGCTCCCAAAAAGCTATCCATCTGGGATATGGATCTTAACAAAGACACCTCTCCCAGTGCACCTTATTTATTGATGAATTTGCGTTATTTATTTGTTTGTTTGTTCACTTAAATGAAAGCTTCTATTTATTGGGCTTACAAATGAATGTTCTATGTTTACGGTTCTATGGAACTTTGACCGTGGCCGGATCGGGGAGGTCGACAGTGTCACGATTGATAATCAGGGGGCCAAATAATTAAATATTATTGCTGACGACACAAAAAGTCAGAGATATTTATTTAAATGATGCATCAGAGCTGAAGGACTGGCCCGTCAGCCAACCGCAAAGCTGCTATTACTGAAAACAAACACACAAATTCAGTTGCGGATCTGGGAAAAAGCATATTTGAACTGGTTTTACTTCACAATTTAAGAGAAGTACTTAAAAAATATTTTAGTTTCTGGTGTATTTTGTGTAGCTTTCCTAACAGTCAAAATAAGAATGGGATTTAAGGACAGTAGGAATCGAGTTGAGCGCTATTTGGTTTAAATGCAGCACCTAATTACAATAGCTTTTCATTCTCCTTAATTGGGTCAGAGGAAGCCCTGTTTGTAGATGTGTGCGGGTCACTGGATCATTCCCGGAATGAATATTACCCCGTTGTTTGCAAATAGGTGATATATGGCGGCCATATTCCGCCGTGATGAATGTTTTTTAAGAATTTCCTCTCCTTTATCAATTGACTAACAAACACATGTATCACTGCCACTCCGGTCGGCGTTCCACATAAATTAGATATCCTTCCCTCCCTTGTTTTTTTCCCTCATCCCTTTATTTTCCCATTCCCAGCCACGGGATCGCCGTTCCCGCTTCCAAACATTATCGCGACTTAATGCACGCAGGTGAAACATACCGCCTGATTGCGTCTGCACGAGACTCGCCCTGCCCCCATCTCCGGATGGTCGGTCTCCGGTGCGGTTTTCCAGACCGGCAGAGTACATCGAGCGCTTAAGTGAATAGAGGGAATAATGGCTGTTAAGGAAATAATTCAGCATGGAGTCGAGCTGTTTAATCTTGGCCAGGGGGGCTGTTGTATGCCGGGGGGGGGGGGGTGGTTGGCGTGTGAATATGGCATTCAGTGTTGTTGTGTGATTACGGAGTATGTATCAAAAGGCCCAGGTCTCCGCAACTCAGGCAAAACAAAGTCTGAGGCTCCCCGGCCGGGTGAGCTTACCAGAGCGGCATGATGAGGCGGGGTGGCAGGGCAGGCGGGCACCAGAGCTGCCCCCATGGTCGGGATTTAATCAGTCGACAGCTGGTGCCGGTTTAAATGTGCCAGCCTGAACACAAAAGTACATGCGACGGTCGATAAGAAATGACAGGGAGATTGCAGGGATTTACTCACTGCTCACATGCCCGTTGGTGTTTGCCTACAAGTCACCATCAGGTGTGATGTAGCAGCCTGACGCTACCAGGGTACGACCACAAACCCTCAGCTTGGATCCGCTTGGTCTGGGTTGGGGATCCTAAGATACAACAGCTGAGCAGGAGAGCCCAAACATCTCAAGGCGGTGAAGTGGGTCTGGTCTGAGGCAGAAAGCCGTTTACCCTGGTTTAGCGGAGTCGGCAAAAATCAGCCCGAACATGACGCGAACTGGGGGGGTCGGAGGCACCCTGAGCCGCGATAAAGCTGCTCGCGGGGGTGGCGGGGGGGGGACGTTTGTATGCAAATGCAGCTTGCGCCTCCGCAGGGCTGCGGCTAATGGCCGCGATCGAAATTAGCCAAAATGAACCTCGTGGTGATAATCAGGCAGATCTTTCCCGGCGCAGTGCTGTAATGTGGAGAGGGGCGTGTCCTCCGGATGCTCCATCTCAGCATCTAATGGAAGAGCATCGCAGGGACTGCGACTTATTGATGGAGCCGCTAAATGTGAAATAAAGCTGCCGAAAGCTGTTAAAACACTACTCTCGGGCAAATTATACCCACTATTTCCAAAGAAACATCTCCAGGAGATCATCAAATGACACATATATTTTTACATGGGGCCATAATGTGAGTTTTGGGGGAGAAAGTGTACGCTGGTCGTTCAAATTAGGGTACGACGAGTGCCTAATCAGCAGAGTTCCAGTTCTTTGGCTTCCAGGGCTGGGGGTTGCTGTCTATCCCCCGGTCTGACTCTGTTAACCTGGGGGGGGACGCCGAATGGCCAGGAGGACAGGGCGTCCTAGGGCTTCCCCGCAGGTCCCTCCCAGCATCTCATTTGATAACCGGACGGGAGCCGTGCCCTGTAGAAATGCAGTGAGCCTTGGGAGTTTCCTTCGGAAAAGACCAGAGTGAGCCGGGGGTGGGGGGGGGCACTGTTCGGCATAACGCACTCGGGAAATGTCCACGGTGAGCCTTTCTTTGTCACTAGCCGGTGCAGCGTCACACACCGGCAGGTCCCTCCCCATCTCCAAGCCCCCCTCGGACCACGGGGAGGAGGGGGGACAGAAACGGGGGTCCCCAGCTCCCGCCTCGGCCAGAGCTACGGCCTTCCGGTCTCCGGGAGACGCCAACGGAAAAGCCGGACACGTTTGCCTGCGGCCGCTTGAACAATCGAAGGTAAATACGGTGCCGACAGGCCATTTGTTTTGGGCCGGCGGTGATACATGGTTTTGCAGTGGGCAGCACATTTTTACAGAGCTGAAGCAGCCAGTGAATAATGAAGCAGTCCCTCTGTCCACTCTCACCGCTATTTTTATTATTGTCTCCCTTATAGTTTTCATTTTTCATATTCCGCCGGGCCGACCCTCTGGACGGCCGCAGCCGGAGGACTCTCTGTGGACTCTGCCTCCATCAACCCCCACCCCCCCCCCCCCCCCCCCCCAATTCCTCCTCTCCCTCCTCCCCGACACCTCCCCTCTCTCCACTTCCCGAGTCCGTGCCAGCTGACTGCTAATATAGGTTAGCGACCGCGGTTTGCTTTCTTGCTAGCTGCAAATAGAACAGCCACGTGGTAACGGAGAGACTATAAACAGAGGCTGATGTATTTTTTGCCTCTGTAACGGGCTTTCCGGTGCAAGGAGCAGGATGTGGATCTCCGGACGGCACCACTACAGGTGTGTTACGTAATAAAACTTATTACCAAGCCGACGCATCTATTTACCTTATTGCGTACTGGTACCAATGGTCTAGGTCATACCTGCCAATACGTATTTGTGTTTATTGTTTGAACGATACAAAAATAAAATGTTAAATTAGATAGATCTTTCATAAATGCCCCGGATAAATGGGTACCGCTGCTGATTGGTGCAATTGGTAAGCTAGCTCACCAAACACAGACTGGGTCACGAGGTTCTGTTACTGTTCAACATACTGTAGCATTAAAACAGCTCAGACTCCCGATCGAAGTGATTTTAAACGTGCCGTGATCGGTGGTGCCAGACACAGCGGGTCCAGCATCTGGGAAAGAGCCCCCCCCCCCACCTGGGATTTTCAGACACTGCACCATCTGGAGTTTACAGACATTGGTGTGATGAAAGACCAGGCCAGTGGCAGTTACTGAAGACACCAAGCGGCCTGACCAAGGACGTAAGTCCTTGGTCAGGCCGCTTGGTGGAGCTCAACCTTGCTGCTCAACCTTGCTGGAGCTCAACCTTCTCAACCTTCCTGCCCCCTAAACACACAGTAATGCCACAATATCGGTAAGGCCATGTCCCTACTGATACCCAAATCAACACCTTTGGGCTTTTGTAATTGTATATTCTGTTAATATATGTAATATGTATAAATAATTTTTGACAGCTGTGTAATTGAATTGAATTTTGCACTTCGTCAGTGCATGAAAATGATGGTTGTTCCATTGCAGTTCTAATGCTCAGTCGACCAGTAACTGAACATTATTTATTTTGAGGGAAATAAGTATCCAACTATAATGGTCCATCCATCCATCCATCCATCGCCTTGACCCAGTACGGGGTCATAGTGAGCCTGTCCCAGGCAGAGGAAGACTAGGAACTCCTCAGATACGACGCTGGTCCGACGCCACGGATGTGGAACCGTAAGTGGATTCAAGGAGAATCTATGCGTTCTTCTCTTTAGACTCTGGCACCATGTGATAATCCCATGATCCATGGATGCAGGCATGAGAACCGCCGGCAACACAGACGCAAGTCAGCCCTCCTGATGTCCCGGTAGCGGGAGACGCAGATCCAGGTCAGTGTTGTGGGCGGAGCCTGGCGCATACCTGGATGATTCACTAAGCGTCTGGAATGACCCGGTGGTGGTGGCCCCAGGGACCGCGCCGTTTTGCGGCTCTTTAATTTAACCGGAACCCGCTTCTCGCACCCATAATGGCCCCCTCTTAATTCAAGTGACATTTTTACTGGTGCTGAAATATGGCATCACTACACCACCCTTCATTATGCAGCTACATCCTTCATGCCGGCCTACGCTAATACGCAGCTCTTAGTCCAACTCCCCCCACCCCCCACACACACACACACACATACCCGGGGGAGAATTAATAACAGCACGTTTCAGATGCTGTTTTAGTGCCGCCCGGTTACGGCCAATGCGACCAATGCCGACGTTATCTTTCAGGAAAATGGGAAAAAAACGATCCACCTGTATTTTCAATGAACCTGGCGAGAGAGGCAAGAGAAACTAGTATGTGATGAGAGAAACTAGTATGTGATGAGAGAAACTAGTATGTGATGGGGGAAGCTAGTATGTGATGGGGGAAGCTAGTATGTGATGAGGGAAACTAGTATGTGATGGGGGAAGCTAGTATGTGATGAGAGAAACTAGTATGTGATGGGGGAAGCTAGTATGTGATGGGGGAAGCTAGTATGTGATGGGGGAAGCTAGTTCTGACCAGAGAAGCTACTTTGTTTCAAGAGGAGCTAGTTTATGGCCAGTAAAGCTGGTACGTGATCAGGGTCTGTAGTGAAAAAAGCTACTTGGGAACAACAGCAGCGGAGGATCATGCTCCCCTCTCCCCCGCCAGTTGCCACCCCTTACCAAAACATAAAAGTGAAATCTGGAGCATTTAAATCTGTAAGCCAGAGCTGGCCAACTTGTCGATCAGTCGATGACGGCATAGCGGCAAGACGACTGAGAGATGATTCATGGATAATACCTTTACTGAGGGGGTTCCTGGTGGGCAAAATACCCTGACTATTATACAGGAAGTGCATGCTAACAGAGCTGTTAGCGGGGGGGGGGGAGGGGGGCGGCTCTGCTCATTCCACATTTACATTCGCTCACAGAGTGTGAGGCAGGAAGTACATCAAAAGTTAAGGAGCAAACCAGGCTTACGGGCAGCAAAGCTAAGCTTCCGGTAAGTGACCAGTAACGAGTGCAAGTAATCATCAGAGGAAGAGCTACTGTATACGCTACAAACATAGCGGGGATCTAACAGGTGAGCGACTCAAATCAAGGACAAAGACAAGTACAAAAACGCAGGAGTATTGGGGACACACAAGAGAACAGCAACGGGAGCCCAGAGGGGAACAGAGCAGAGCTGTGGCTGGATTAGCTAGCTGAGGAGTTTCTGGAGAAGACCGGTCTGGGGGCTTATGTTGCCTCTCTGGCTTCCCACGTCATGCTGCTCCTCCTCCCTCCTCCAGCAGGCCTACCTTCCTTCACACTCCCGTGCTCCCTGGCTCATACAGACACCAGTGGTCATGGCTGGGGAGGGTGATCCATCTCTGTCAGGGGGGGCAAAAATGATAACGCCAATTAAACGGGAGGAGTAATTGCCCTCCGGTGCCTACAGCCGCCACCCCCCCCACTTCCCCAATAGAAATGGCAGCCGTGGAATATGAATGAGAGCAAGGCCCCAGGAGAAGCAGGACGTGAGTTGGGGGGGGGGAGGCTAGAGGGACTTGGGGGGGGGGGCGGTGATTTGTAACTTTTAACCTCTGCTGATCACAATGTCCCTGGCGGGGGCGGCCAGCCAGGGGTCCTCCTGACAGGGCCTGCGGCCCCCCCTCCCATCATCACACGTGGCAGTTAAACCATAACCATGCTTACAGTCATGCTGCTGGAACCGAAACTGGCCGTAAGCACGGATGAGACTGCAGAACGACCCGGAAAAACAAGTTGCAAGATGGATGGATAGATGGATGGATGATCAAGCATTTAAATAAATACTTTTGATCCTTTAAGCTAAACCACCCAATACAGGCAGCCTCTCATCTTACATAAAACTGACTTAAGTAAATCCAGAGTTTGCAGAAGCGCTAATGCAAGAAGGCGACATACGTCTGAAAATGTACCATTCAACTTTATTCTTGATTTCTTTACTTGTGTTTTTTGGTACATATTACTAGTATAGTTTTGGCTTATGTGTTTTTTTGCTGTGAGCTGTCTTAAATGATATGGGAAGATGAATACAACTTGTGTAAAATTTGCAGGGTATGTGGAACAAATTATTTACGATAGTCAAGAGCTGCCCCTAGTAGGGTTTAGTAGCCTAAATCAGGGCTTCCCAATCCGGTCCTTGGGGACCCAGAGTCGGTCCATGTTTTTGCTCCCTCCCAGCTCCCACATGAACCATTGCCCTAAATCAGGGGTCTCCAACTCCGGTCCTGGAGAGCTACTATCCAGTAGGTTTTCTGTCCCACTTGGCTTCTGATGAGCCACAGCTGTTCCTGATATTTACCTGAGAACAGCTCATCAGAAGCCGGGTAGAATAGAAAACCTACTGGACGGTAGCTCTCCAGGACCGGAGTTGGATACCCCTGCCCTAAATAATTAGGAGCTCATTGCTGTTACCTCTCTAGCTCCTTGCTCCACACTCTTCCGTAACCCCCCCTACAAACCTCACTTCCCTCAGGTGCCTGACATTATCGTGTTGCCTGAGTTAGAGTTTCTCCATGCAAGCTCAGGAGTGACCTGGTACAACCGCTTAGAGCTGACCAGCTTGGCCATGACCTTCCGGTGGCTTCTCACTGATACATGATGTGTAGTAGCTAGACCTCGACAGCCGGTCGCTGGGCACATGGTCAGCAGTTGACGTTTCTCAGGGTTCTTTAATGGTTTTGTCCAATGTGGGGACAGAACCTGTTCATTTGGGAATGGAACTTGAAAGAACATCTGTTGGCTCTAATTGTTTTAGGGTTAGGGTTGAATTACGCACTGGGACTTAAAAATCACATTTAGGAGAACCAGTTAAGAAAGGGGAGCATGCTGAAAGTTCCAGAAAACATCAGCCCTGTCTTACATTACCTTATAGCTGTATCCCAAATCATCTCAGCTAAAGCAAATTGCAGCTAAATGAAAAATGAGTTCTAGAAGGTTCAGAGTGCAGTTTAAAAGCCGAGACAGAGTGCAGGATGTATGGTGAATCTCAATATGTGTACTTTACCATACTTGTGTTCTAATGTACCTGTTTTATGTTATCTTCCATTGCCGAAGACCAGTTCTAATACTCAAGGACAGAAATATAAAGGACAGTAAAAATCCATGGATGTAGTTCCTGCCCCACCCCAAATATCAAGGATATATTGGTTGTATCCTTGCCAAACGACACCAATCCCATGATTCATTGCACCCCAAGTTCACCCTTGGGAGGCAAGTTAGCAAGACCAGTCTTGCCAAGACTACAAGTACGATCTTTGTGTTCTTGGTATTGAGGAACACCCGTAGCCTCCTGCTCAGGGGTGGGGCCATCTGATAGCCGATTGGCCGAGTGCCCCTTCCTTTGTCACTCGATTGGCTGAGTGCCTCTTCCTTTGTCACTCAATTGGCCCCTTCTTGTGTCACTCACAGATTCAAAACATATTATTGGGTAATAAGTTTGGCCCCCTCTGTATGCATTATGGCCTTGCCCATTGTCCGTGCTCCTGCTGCATCACGCCTCCATCTCTGACTTTAAAGAGTTTGAGCCATTAGAGTCCCTAACAGGATGAGGTGCCACCCCTCTGTGAGGACCATGAGAGAGTCTGATTCGTCACCCCATCATAGTTTCTGTTCGTTAATCGAGGACTGACCGGATCTCTGATCAGTAATGGCAGCCATGTGCTCTGCTTGTTGTCCCCCCACCCCGTTTCCAGGTCATGAATCAGGGAGGGTTAGCGACAAAAAATGGTGCCGCTAATAGCTAGCTCCCCCCCCGTCCCTCCCTGCAGAGATGGGGGCTGTCATAACTGTATCATGATTCATGGCCTGTCAGCTTTGAAGTGCGGTTGGTTTGTTTCCGGGGGCGGGCATGATGTGGGAGACCCGTAGACCCAAAAGGAATGGATCCCAGAAATACGGTGACATCACTCTGCCGATCCCAGGATTTGGACCAGCGACACTCAAGCACAGTATCCTGAGCCCGATGAGACACACACCACCCTATCGTACGTTGGCCGGTGCCTCCATCAGCCAATCAGGCAGTGGGAGCGAGGATCTTCAGATGACGATGATCACCGCTAATTTTTTTATTAGATTTTATTCGCCCGCTGAGTGACGTCCCCCGTTTCCCGCCGCGGCCCGCGCCCTGCCATCCCGCCACGAGGAAATAATAACAGCAATAAGAGCGATACTGAGACGAGCGCATCGATCCTGCCGGGGGACGCCGCCGCGATGTGTTGACTTATTACACGGCGCTAGGCGCCAAATCCATAATTAGACTCTTTTGTTGCGAAATGTTGTTGTTGAAAATGTAATTATGAAAGATGAAACGCAGCCTTCAATGGGATCGCCGTAAAATGGCATAATTAATATGGGGTTTGCGAGAACAATTCTGTAATACTGGGCCCTCAGTTGCGAGTGAAATTAATTAACTGTGCCAGGATTTATGAGGGAGGCGCCAAAATGAAAAGAATTAATCCGGGAGGGGGGAAGATGGATGGTGGCTGGAAAATGATGACACCCAGGATGGGGTGCTCTCTAAACGTTTTAGGGGGCAGGTTTTGGGGACAACTTGGGATCGCTGACACAATTAACCACTGTGAGCCGACAGCTGCGATGCAGCAGGAATTGGGTAATTTTTGGCCGGGATTCTTCCATAGAAACACCCCCCCCCCCACCCACCAATCACACACTCCACTCAGGAAACAGGTATCAGAGGCATTGAACCAGCACATCCCTCAAAATCATTAAAACAAAGTTATGAATCCCCTCCCAAAATAATCACATTCTGGAGGGAAGAGATTCTGCACAACTGGTTTAACTGGTCAGTGTTGCTTTACTGGTGTTTGTAACAAACTGGGGAGGCATTT